CATATTAACATAAAGAATTATTACAGTGATAACAAAATTTATACGAAATTTTCAAAAACCGAATCCGATTCGCCTAAAATCAATAATTTAATCTTAGAAAAACAATGACACATTTTTTGAACTGATTGTTTTATCATAAATTTGAATTTATTTGTTTAAATAATTTATCATCATAACAGTGTGAATATTTGCTTTGCAGATATAACTATTGTATTGATTGGTTTAACAAATTATTTATTTTTATTTTATTTTATTTTTTGCACAAAATTTTTACTATAAATTATTTCATTGATAATTTCTCAAAACTAATGTCTAATTAATTTATTTATATTTTTATTTCCGTTTATATATTTAAAATAAAAATATAACCTTGTACGTTATTTATTATTTTGTTCCTCAAATTTTCTTCATAATAATAATAATTCATTCCATTAATTTTTAGTATTAAAAAATACTTACTGAGAGTGTAATAAATTATTAAAATTTTTGTTCGAAAAAATTGGTAAAATTAAGTTAAAAATTAAAAACGATATTAAATTCAAGTTTTGTGTTAAATTTGAAGTGTAAAAGTGTAATATATTATTAAAACTGATGACAAAATATCTGGCAAAAATTAAAATTAAATTAAAAATTGAAAGTGTATTAATATAACAAATTGCTCAATTTAATATAAGAATTTAAAAAAAATTGAAGGTTTGTTTAAATTTAAGTGTAAAATTGAGTTAAAAATTAAAAACTCTATTAAAGTTTTGTGTTATATTATGAGTGTAATAGTGTAATTCCTTAGGCAAAATTAAATTAAAAATTGAACGTTTATTAATATAACAAATTGTTAAAAATAATATAAAAATTAAAAAATAATTAAAGGTTTGTTTAAATTTAAGTGTTTTAAAAATATGCATTAATAATTACTGGTGTTAGTTTAAAAAACGTAGTGCAAATATGTGACTTAATAAGAATTATTTTGTTATTAATAAGAATTAATTAGTTTCCTAAAAATGCATTTAAACATTGTCAAATAATCATAAATATAGTTTGTTTATTTTTTTGTGAAAGTTTATTGACATTGAATTAGCACTTAACAATTTGTGTAAAAATTAGAAGTTTCTGTAAAAATTTAAAAATAGTGATCTTATGATCTTAAAAATTAAAACAAAAATAATATAAATATTTAAAAATAATATACAAACTAAAATAAATTTTTAATAAATTTATAAAAAAGTTATTAACATTTTTCAAATGCAATTTGCTTTATTTAACAAATAAGTTTACGTATGATAAGCATTATTATTATTATTTATTTAAAAAATTAGAATATTTGTAAATTTATTAAAAATTAAAAAGTTTTAACATTATCCACAAGCAATTATAAAAATAAAATTAAATATATTTAATTATAAAAAATATTTATTTAATACAAAGAAAGTATATACTATAGTATAAAGTGATAAATATTAATAAAAAAGTGTTTTTTAAATTTATTAAATCAAACTAAAAAGTGTGTTTTTTAATTATTAAATTTTCTATTAAAAATAATTATAATGCCAAGATTTTTCGTTTAAAATTATTAGTTAGTTTAAATAAGTGTTTTTCTAAAAGTGCTTTTCGAGTTTAAAATGATTTATTAACAAATATTTTGTTTATCACAAAATTTATTTATTATTCAAGGTAAAATTTTACGATTTTCTAATAGATATAGTTACTTAACAAATATTTTTTAACAAAGCAATTGATAAATTATTTAAACAAATTTAAATTTATGATAAAAAAATAAATCAGTTCAGGAAAATAGATTGTTATAGAATGGAACTTGTTTTTTGATACTTTTATACAAATTTCTAATTATATTATCTAATAATGTTTTTTTAACAATTTTTTTAATTGCAAAAATGGGTAGACTGACCTTTTTAATTAAAATTTTATTGGAAAATTAACTTTCACACAAATTAACAAAATTTAAATTTATTATGCAAGTCTGATTCGTTTTTAGAAAACTCTATATTAATTTTCAGTATTTTTTCATTATTTTCTTAATTGCAAAAAAAGATTTGATTTAATTTTATTTAAAAAAATATACTATAATTTGTTGTTTAAAATTCCTAATGACTATGAGAAGTAGAGTTTTAATTTTTTTCACCAACTTTCAATATAATTTTTTACACTTTTTATATAAAAACACTTTCACAGTACAAAATTGGTATTTTAGAGCAATAGTTATTTACTATTTTGGTTTTGCATAATTAAATTGCACAAGTTCATATTTTTTTTAATTTAAAAATGAAAAACTTAACTTAAAAACAAAAGTTTTGCAATAATTTTGTTCAGAAATTATCATAGTAAAAAATAATTGTTAGTATATTAGTACATTAGTTTATAATTCTATAAAGTATCCTAAAATGACTACAGAAAATTAGTAGATAAATCAAGTAACTCTTACAATATTTAATAAATGTAAAAAAATATTTCTAAACAACTTTAGCACAATTTTTTTACCAAAATGTACGTCTAAACACTCAACTTGCTTACCCAATTTCAAACCCTTATAAAAATATGTGTAATTATTATTTCATACAAACTTTAATTTATTTACCTAATTTAAACCTTCTTTTATACATGTATATATAAATATAATTAATTTTTACTCTTAATATATTTTTTATTAATTTTTAAATTTCCAGTGTAGCCAAAAATTGTGTATAAACTCACAAATTTCTTACCCAATTTCAAACCCTTATAAAAATATGTGTAATTATCATTTCTTACAAACTTTAATTTATTTACATAGTTCAAACTTTTATTTATACATGTATATAAAAATGTAATATAATTTTACTCTTAATATATTTTTTATTAATTTTTAAAATTCCAGCGTAACCAAAATTTATAATCAAACTCCCACAAATTGCTTACCCAATTTCAAACCCTTATAAAAAAATATGTGTAATAATTATTTTTTACAAACTTAAATTTATTTACCTAATTTAAACCTTTCTTCATAAATGTATATATAAATATAATATAAATTTACATTTAATATATTTTTTGTTAATTTTTAAAAATCCAGTGTAACCAAAATTTATAATCAAACTCCCACAAACTGCTTACCCATTTTCGAAACCTTATAAAAATATGTGTAATTATTATTTCTTAAAAACTTTAATTTATTTACCTAGTTCAAACCTTCCTCTATATATGTATATATAAATATAATATATATTTATATTTATTATATTTTTTTATAATTTTTAAAATTCCAGTTGTAACTAAAATTTGTACTTAAACTCCCAAAATGCTTACCCAACTTCAAACCCTTATAAAAATAAGTGTAATTATTATTTCTTACAAACTTTAATTTATTTAGCTAGTTTAAACCTTCCTTTATACATGTATATATGAATATAATATATTTTTACAATTACTTATATTTTTTGTTAATTTTTAAAATTCCTGTGTAACCAAAATTTATAATAAAACTCCCAAATTGTTTACACAATTTCAAACCCATATAAAAATATGTGTAATTATTATTTCTTACAAACTTTAATTTATTTACCTAATTTAAACCTTTCTTCTTACATGTATATATAAATATAATACATTTTTACTCGTAATATATTTTTAATTGATTTTTAAAATTCCAGAGTAACCAAAATTTATAATCAAACTCCCACAAATTACTTATCCAATTTCAAAACCTTATAAAAATATGTGTAAATATTATTTCTTACAAACTTTAATTTATTTACATAGATTAAAACTTTCTTTATACATGTATATATAAATATAATATGATTTTACTCTTAATATATTTTTTATTAATTTCCAAACTTCCAATTGTAACCAAAATTTATAATTAAACTTAAATTTATTTATAATTAAACTTCTAAATTGCTTACCCAATTTCGAACCCTTATAATAATATGTGTAATTATTATTTTTTACAAACTTTAATTTATTTACCTAATTTAAACCTTACTTTATACATGTATATATAAATGTAATACATTTTTACATTTATTATATTTTTTATTAATTTTTAAAATTCCAATGTTACCAAAAAATTGTGTATAAATTCCCAAATTGCTTACCCAATTTCAAACCCTCATAAAAATATGGGTAATTATTATTTTTTACAAACTTTGAGTTATTTACCTACTTCAAACCTTTCTTTATGCATGTATATATAAATATAATATGATTTTACTCTTAATATATTTTTTATTAATTTCCAAACTTCCAATTGTAACCAAAATTTATAATTAAACTTAAATTTATTTATAATTAAACTTCTAAATTGCTTACCCAATTTCGAACCCTTATAATAATATGTGTAATTATTATTTTTTACAAACTTTAATTTATTTACCTAATTTAAACCTTACTTTATACATGTATATATAAATGTAATACATTTTTACATTTATTATATTTTTTATTAATTTTTAAAATTCCAATGTTACCAAAAAATTGTGTATAAATTCCCAAATTGCTTACCCAATTTCAAACCCTCATAAAAATATGGGTAATTATTATTTTTTACAAACTTTGAGTTATTTACCTACTTCAAACCTTTCTTTATGCATGTATATATAAATATAATATATTTTTACCCTTAATATATTATTTAATAATTTTTAAAAATCCAATGTTACCAAAAATTGTGTACGAACTCCCAAATTGCTTACCCAACGTCAAACCCTTATAAAAATATGTGTAATTATTATTTCTTACAAACTTTAATTTATTTACCTAATTTAAACCTTTCTTAATACATGTATAAATAAATAAAAAATATTTTTACTATTAATATATTTTTTATTAATTTTTAAAATTTCAATGTTACCAAAAATTGTGAATAAACTCCAAAATTGCATACACAACTTCAAACCCTCATAAAAATATGTGTATTTATTATTTCTTACAAACTTTAATTTTTTTGTCTAATTTAAACATTTATTTATACATGTATATATAAATTTTATATATATTTATATTAATTATACTTTTTATTAATTTTTTAATTACAGTTGATCCAAAATGTTGACAAAATCGGCTCTATTTGTCTTTTGTTTGACAATCGCTTTGAATTCGTTTCTGGCTGAACCTGTACCTGAAGGTAAATAATTATATATATATATATATATATATATATATATATATATATATATAATAGTGATTACTATTTTTTTTATTTTATAAAATTTATTTTATTATGGCAATACACATACAGCGTCGAAACGTACATAATAAATTCTTAATTTAAATTTAATTTATATTGCTTGTAATTTTAACTTTAATATTTTTTTATTTAATTTTTGCAGTTTTTTTAAACTAAAATTGGTTACAAAAATGATTTGCAATTATTTTCTGATGCATTTGCGTGACTTCCATTGCAGATTTATATCATTTTGCAATAAAATAATAAAAAGAAATAATAAAACATTGTTACAAGACACTAATTTGACATATTTAATATCACATGCCATCCAGAGACATGTTATATAAATATAATATATACAAATTATATATATACACACACATATATATATATATATGTATATATATATATACATATACAAAAAATATAAAATAAATTTTTGATTTTTTTTTTAATATTTTCACAGACCTAAATTTTATTACAAAAAATTTCATATTAATTTTTTTACAAATTCTTCAAATTATTTGATAAAATTATAAAAAAATATATCAAAAGCATTTGTTAAGTATTAAATATTTATAAAATTAGCAAAATTATTAAACAATTTAATTTAACAATTAAAATTTTATATTTGCTAAGTTAATGTTCATAATTTAATTTTTTTGTCATATTAAACAAGGAAATCTTCAAAAAATTCAAAACATTTTAAAATACTTTGAAATATAATTCATAGCAATTATATCATTTTTTTTTAAATATATTATTAATATTAATTTTATCCGAGGCACTAAATTTATTCAAAAAAAATATATATACTACTAGTTATATAAAATATTTATCTAAAACATCCTATTAAATTTGATTGAACATAATCTGTCAAAACCATTTGATATTTGACGTATGAGCCGTCGTCTATTGTTTCATTTTAAATTACGTTTCTACAAAACAATAAATAATTCAAAAATTTAACAATTAATTAAAATTTCAATTAATTTAACAATTAAAATTTTAAATTTACTAAGTTAATGTTCAGAATTTATTTTTTTTGTCAGGCAAATTAAAAACATTTTATAATGCTTTGAAATAAAATTTATAACTATATTGAAAAAATGTATTTCAAATATATTAATAAAATTAATTTTATCCAAAACCTAAATTTATTAAAAAAAATATATACTACTAGTTATATATAATATTTATCTAAAACATCCTATTCAATTTGATTGAACATAATCTGTCAAAACCATTTGACATTTGACGTATGAGCCGTTGTCTATTGTTTCATTTTTATTTACATTTCTACAAAAAAAAAATAATTTAAAAATGTAATTTTTTTACGTTTCTACATTTAATTTAACAATTAAAATTTTATCTTTACTAAGTTAATGTTCAGAATTAAATTTTTTTTGTCAAGCAAATTAAAAACATATTAAAATACTTTGAAATTAAATTTATAACTATATTGAAAAAATATATTTTAAATATATTAATAATATAAATTTTATCCGGGGCACTAAATTTATTCAAATATATATATATATATATATATATATATATACTACTAGTTATATATAAAGTTCTAATTTAACAATTAAAATTTTATGTTTACTATGTTAATGTTCAGAATTTCATTTTTTTGTCAGACAAATTAAAAACATTTTAAAATATAAAATTTATAACTATATTGAACAAATATACATAATTCAAATATATTAAAAATAATAATTTTATCTGGGGCACTAAATTTATTTAAATATATATATATATATATATATATATATATATACTACTAGTTATATATAATATTCATCTAAAACATCATATTAAATTTGATTGAGCATAATCTGTCAAAACCATTTAACATTAAAAGTGGTCAAATCGGTTCAGCCGTTTTAGATCCTTAGCATGCATAACATTTTATCGAGCTCCATTTATATATATATATATAACTAGCGACCCATTTAGTAATAAACTACATACTATAATTAAATAAAATTCATCTAAAATACCCTATTAAATTTGATTGAACATAATCTGTCAAAACCATTTGACCTTTGACGTATGAGCCGTCGTCTATTGTTTTATTTTAAATTACGTTTCTACAAAACATTTTAAATTAAAATGTAAGGTTTCTATAGAGTTTTGAAATAATTTGTCACCTATTAAATTTGATTGAACACTATCTGTCAAAATCATTTGACATTTGACGTATGAGCCATCGTCTATTGTTTTATTTCAATTTACGTTTCTTCAAAACATTTTAAATTAAAAATGAAAATTATCTACGTCGTTTGGCAATAATATCTCACCTTTCTCACAATTTCTGAATTAGCACAAATACTTCAAGACTAAAAGTGGCCAAATCGGTTCAGCCGTTTTAGAGCATTAGCATTCCTAACATTTTATTGAGCTCCATTTTTATATATAACTAGCAACCCATTTAGTAAGAAATTACAAATAAAACTACATGCTATAATTACGTGAATTCATCTAGAACATCCTATTGAATTTGATTGAAATTAATCATTTGATATTTGACGTATAAGCCGTCGTCTATTGTTTCATTTTAAATTAGGTTTCTACAAAACATTTTAAATTAAAAATGTGAAGTTACTATGAAGTTTTGGAATAATTTCTCACCTTTGCCACAATTTCTGAATTAACACAAAAATATAGAGACTAAAAGTGGCCAAATCGGTTCAGAGTCTTTGCATACCTAACATTTTATCGAGCTCCATTTTTGCATATAAGATAATTTTAATTATTTTCTTTAGTTATTTAAATATTTTAATTTATATTGTTTATAAATATTATTTGTTAAATTTTATTTTAGTTAATTTAATATTAATTTACTGTATAAATAATTTTTTTTAAAATTTTTTCAGCACTAGTCAGCAATGAAAAAAGTGGTAACCAGCCAATTGTGAACAGCCCTAAAGAAACGGTATAAATATTTTTTTTACTAACACCAGAATTAAAATTGTAATAATAATTTATATTATTATATTATATATATATATATATATATATATATAAATATATCTTGATTATAAATATTAAATTAAATATTTATTCTTTAGGTTGTGTCTGACAATTCAAATTTTTTGAAGAAGGCTTTACACAGATTTGGGGTAAGAAAATTCAAATTTATTAATAATTTCATAATAATTATTATTATTATTAAATTGTTTTATTTAGTGCTCGGTTTTATTAATTTTTTAATATTATTTTTATTTAGTTTGGAAATCAACCAGTTTTAGGACAACCCGGTAACGAAACCAAATCAAAATCATCAGGCAGCAGGAAACAGACAAGAGGTGGTAGTGACTTTTCTTATGATGACACTTCTTATAATGGTGAGTGGCAATTTATTTTAAAACAAGAATTATTAGAGCATAGTATGCTAGATAAAATACTTTTTGAATTTTTGAAATCGGTTCAGCCGTTTTCGAGAAAACGGTGACGCTAAGTCAAACTTTGGCTCACCCAAACAGAGAAATGTACTTATTTCAAATTCGAGAAACCTCGGGAAAAAAAGATTTAAACAAATCTGATTTTATGATGAAACTAGTGGTGTATGGCATCGTGCCTTAAGGCAAATTGCTGGAACTTCTCGTACCGTAATGAAATATTCGAGAAATTTTAAACGTTTTCAAATATATTATTACAAATACTGTAACTTTCATTATTTTTGCTATCTTGTTATATCTGAGCAAATCAAATGTAATTTTTTTTTTAACAATTGTCATTTCATTTCGAATTCATTTTCAAAAAAATAGTTGTCTAATTTATTTATTTATTTTACAAGCCGTCAGTATATTAATATTATAATAAGGCTCAAGTCAATATTTTACAGGTTTAATATAATTTAATTAACTATTAGCCATTTTATTACTTATTTATTTATTATTTAATTTATTTACAATAAACTTATTTATATTTAGTTGATTTTAATTATTTTTAAATATAACTAGTTTGTTTGTTGCAAGTATTTTTTAAAAATTTAATAAGTATTTTAATAAGCTTTATAATACTTTTACAATATAATTATTTTATTTAACAAATTTTAGGTTATTTTATGATATTTTAACAAATTAAATTAACAAATTTAAGAGTCTTATTATTATTATTATTATTATTATTATTATTATTATTATTATTATCATTGTTATTATTATTATTATTATTAAGTATTTTTACTATATAAGTATTTCTTTTACAATTTTTTAGGTATTTAGATGAAAGAAATATTTTGTTTTACAATTCTTTAAGTATTTTTAAATTTTAACTTTTTCAATTTACACAAAATTGAAAAAGTGCTCCCGTACAGTCACAGTCTAAACGCATTTGCGGATAATTCTGTGCGACGTTTTCACTTACACTGTGCTCAGCTTGGCGGCATTTTCACATTTTTCAATAGTTTTCACAAAATTGGAATTGTGTTCCAGTACATAAACAGTCTACACGCACTTGGGTAAACATTTGTACCGGAGTGGCGCTTAGACTGTGCTTAGTCTGGGTAATTTTTGGAATTTTCAATCCAAAATTGCAAAAATATTTTATGAAAAATAAAAAAAGATGTAATAATTTTTTATCCTCGAAAGCAATTGTTTTGTCAATGCAAGCTGAAAGTTCTTTGAATCATTTAAATCGGACGCTTAATTCACTCAAAAACTGGCATTTTTTGCACATTTAGCTCTGTATCTTCGAAATGGCGGGACCTGTTTTTGGCCAAAACTAATCATTTCTTCTCCCAATCATTACAAATTGAATGTTTTTTAGATCATTCAAATCCGATACACCGTTCTTTCAAAAACTCGATTTCTATTTTGTGCACTCTTTGCTCCATATCTCCGTAATGGCTGAACCTGCCTTTGCCATAAACTAATCAGCACATCTCCCTATTAATGGAAATCGAATGTTTTTAAACCATTCTAATCGGTTGATCCGTGCGCCCGAAAACGTGGACGCAAAAATGCGGACATACAAAACACACACACACATCCATTTTTTCTGAGGTATGCCAAAATGTTCAGAAACCTCCAAAACGTCGAGAAATGCAAAAATTTTTATTTCCGATTTTCGGCCCATTACTATAACAACCCTACGGAAAGTTAAAAAAAAATTACCCAGGCCTAAGCACAGTCTAAGCGCCACTCTAGTACAAATGCTTACCTAAGTGCGTTTAGACTGTTTATGTACTGGAGTACTTTTTCAATTTTGTGAAAACTATTGTAAAATGTGAAAATGCCGTCAAGTTAAGCACAGTGTGAGTGAAAATGTCGCACAGAATTATTTGCGAATGCGTTTAGACTGTTTATGTACTAGAGCACTTTACTAATTTTGTAAAAACTATTAAAAATGTGAAAATGCCGCCAAGCTAAGCACAGTGTGAGTGAAAATGTCGCACAGAATTATTTGCAAATGCGTTTAGACTGTAACTATACGGGAGCAATTTTTCAATTTTGTGTAAATTAGGCAAGTATTTTTTTTAAATTGAATTCGAAATGAAATGAAGATTGTTGGTAATGTTCTGGAGATAAATTGATTTATGATTTACATTTGATTTGCTCACAATCAGATATAACAAGATAGTAAAAATAATAAAAGTTACAAAATTTGTGATAATATATTTGAAAAAGTTTAAAATTTCTCGAATATTTCATTACAATACGGGAAGTTCGAGCAATTTGCCTTAAGGCACGATGCCATACACCACTAGTTATTTATAGTTTTAGTATTTTATATATCCTTCTTTGTCGTCGTTTTAACTATTTGCTAGCTACATCAGTTATATTCAGCACAGTATAAGTGAAAATGTCGCACAGAATTATTTGTAAATTTAGTTTAGACTGTGATTATTATTTATCTATTTCAAAATCCAAATTTACTACTATTTTTTCACAAAACTGACATTTCCCGCCAAACGTCAAAAAATTTAGACTCAACGTCAAAATTTTCTACAAAATTTCTAGTAAATTTAAACTATGTCTGGAAGCCGAAGGCTTCCCAAAATCAGCACAAAAAATAGTAGTGATGTAGCCAAAATCAGCACTTTCAAAAATCCATATGAATAACAATGTAAAAAATAATTCCGAAGAAAAAGATCACACATTAGAATTTCAAATTGATTCAACAAATTCCATTGATGGAGATAGTCAATTGGGTCTTGAGTTGACATCAGAACGTGTTGGTTTTGCTAAATGTTTATCCAGAGTTCGTGGCCAAACCGAGTTGCAACATTTTGGTAGAAGATGTTGATTTGGATCCAAAACAAAACTGTACAGACTTGACAGTTGACACAGTGAGTGGTAAAACAGATTTGCCTATCCAAAATTTTTTGAACCATTTACCAGATGATGTTGATACTATCACTAGAGTCGTTGGAACCACAGAAATACCAATCCCTAAAGTCCAAAATGATATTTTTGGTTTCGAATGTGACCTCTGCGACCACATGATAATACCAATAAAATACCTGTGCTACTCTTTCAAATACCACTCCGATCCTGGAATACCAGCACCAACCAGCAACCAAACAGAGACATCAGTGCAACTTATTTTAGACAAATGTGAATATTTTGAAGAGTCTTCCGATGATTCCAGTACGTCTAATAGTGACGATGAAGATGCACCAGCTTCAAAAGTAGTCACTACTGAATTGATATTTTACAAACAAATCGATCGTGAAGATTCTGAAGGGTCGTCTGAGAGCAGTGTGTGTGTCAATGTGCAACAGACACTAGAACATGATGAAGGAAGACCTAAAATTCTGGCTAAAATGGTTAAACATCGGGGAGTAACTGCTGCTAAATATTCACCTCCTGAACAAGACGAAGAGAAATCTGGTGACCCCAAAAAAAATGTTTGTATAGAAACTTTGCCCTTGGTGCGCGACGCCCAAAACAAAAACATAGCATCCGCCTTAGTACATGGTTACATACAAGATGGTAACGAAAATCTTCACCGCCCTTACAAAATTTTAATCAGAAACACTGGTCGTGGTAAAGACTCAAGTATATCCTACACCCTGGTACCAATAAAACCTGTACCACAATCTGATAAAGCCACAAGTGGCGAAAAAACTGATGTCTTGACTGAAGAACAGTTGCAAGAATGTTTCGACAAACTTTGTCCTGAAGACGTTGCTAAAACTACAAACGACGATGGACCTAAAACACCAAAATCAGCCCTCAAAACCCGTGCAAGAGGCGGAGAACTCCCAGAATCTCATTCTCAACCTAAAAAAATCCAACTGAAAGGACCAATTGATGTGATAAAATACGACGAGTTGGCTGACTATATTCGGACAATTGGTGGTGAAGATCATCGTACCCAAAGTGTGCAGGTTAGTGCTGAAAATTTAGCCAAAAAGTCACCTTTTGATGACACTATAATTGTGCTCATAAATGATCCTGAGAAGGAACAGAGGTTGATACAAAAGCAGGTGCAGGAGGCCCTTAGGAAGAAAAAGTCTGAGAAAAAGGCAGCAGTTGGTGGTAAAAGTTCTTCGAATAAAAGACCTACACGTAAAGTTTGTTGTGAGGATTTTAAAAAACTGGTTGACAGTGGTGAGTTGTTTGGGTACGAGTGTGTGGAAATTGACACAGGGAAGAAAAAACAGAAACCAAAAAATGAGGTACCAGAAAATGTGGCAGATTTACCACCACCAGTTGAAACAAGTGCTGAACCTCCATCCAAACCTGAAGCTGACTCTGATGCATCAAAAAAAGTTACCGAGTCCACCATCCCAGATTCAACTTCAGATTTGGATGCAAATTTTTTAGAAGTCACCAAAAAGTACGAAGAAGCTTGTAGACGTTACGAGAATTTTTTAAAACAGTGCAACGCCAAAAACGATGACCCCAACCCCAAAAATCCTATAAACATCGCCATATACACAAAGAAGACGGTAGAATTCAAGAACAAAAACTGGCTTGTACAAAAGTTGACAAAGCCATCGGTGATGAATGTGTTAAAAAATATTATGTCACCAAAACTGTAAGTGTTGATGCAACTGATATGATAATCGATGGTAATTTAGTTGGTGGTTCTGATGGTAAAAAGAAGGATAATAATAGACCAGGTACGTCCACAGCTACCAAAGCAACTTCTGATTCTGCAAACCATGATGGTTTAGAAAAAAAGAGTAGTGTTGAAGTTTTATGCAACAAAGTCGATAAATCCATTAAAAATTTGCAACAAACCATAAAATCTATTACTACCAACGATGTGGCTACCAACAAAAATCTAGACACACCCAAATTGACCAACGACACAAGTTTTGCAAGTCAAAAAAGTTGCAACACGTCCAAAAAATTTGCACCAACTGACAAAGTTGTTGCTACACCTGGTAGTATAAGTTTAGCCACCAACAGCAGCAAACAAGGTGAGGGTAATAATAAAATCAACACGTTCGCTGCCAACACTACTGCCATCAAAAAAGACTCAGCAATGACTGGTACAGAAAAAGCACTTACCAAGAGCGTCTCAGTAAGTTTTAGTGATATGAAGGAGCTTCCTGAGGACAACAAAGTGCCCTATGGCATAGAAATGAGTGCTGTTAAAAATAAAACAGAAGCTCAAAAGGAGGATTTGGAAGAAGCCAAAAAACTGCTGGATAAAAAACCTCAAAAAAGCAAAACCAAAAAAAACACTGAAGGTCTGTCGAGACTCAAAGAGGCTTTGGATGGTAACCCACAGTTGACTATGTTGGATGCTTGTGATTTGGAGGGTTGTTCTGGTTTTGAAATGGTAAAGGATGGTAAAACTATCAAGTTTAACAAGTATTGCAAAAGGAAACCTGGTAGAAGTCATTATTATGGTTGTGCAGATAATGAGAATATACATGGTTATGCTTGCAGTGCTACGGGAATACCCACGATAGAATACTCGCATGATGAGAATCATCCATTGGGTATAAATTAATTTTTCATTTTTAATTTAAATTATTTTATTTAGAATCTAAGTGCTTCTAAAAACTAGTTGGTATTGGTATTTTGCCTACATGAACTTCCCGATATGTGTAAATAAACGACTTAATCAATAAAAAATAAATTAATTTATGAGTGATTAAAAGTATTCCGAGTGGATTTATTACACATAATTGAAAATGTAGGAACACGTTAACTCGGAGTATTTTCTAAAGGCAAATATTCAAAAATCAATAATTTTTATAATTGAGCCAGTTTTTTGTAGGACTTTAATTGTTTAGTATGTGCATTGAGACCAAGTACTCTATAGTTATACCAAGTACTCTATAGTTATACCAAGTAAATTGTCTAATTTTAATTTTAACTAGTAGTGAATGGCATCGTGCCTTAAGGCAAATTGCTGGAACTTCTCGTACCGTAATGAACTATTCGAGAAATTTTAAACGTTTTCAAATATATTATTGCTTTCATTATTTTTGCTATCTTGTTATATCTGAGCAAATCAAATGTAAATCATAAATCAATTTATTATCTCCAGAACATTATCAATCGTCATTTTGTTTAAAATTCAATTTCAAAAAAAAAATAGTTGCCTAATTTACACAAAATTGAAAAAGTGCTCTCGTATAGTCACAGTCTAAACGCATTTGCAAATAATTCTGTGCGACATTCTCACTTATACTGTGCTTAGCTTGGCGGCATTTTCACATTTTTCAATTTACAGTCTAAACGCACGTCTAAACGCACTTGGGTAAACATTTGTACCAGAGTGGCGCTTAGACTGTGCTTAGCCTGGGTAATTTTATGAATTTTTAATCCAAAATTACAAAAATATTTTATGGAAAATAAAAAAAGATGTAATAATTTTTTATCCTCAAAAGCAGTTGTTTTGTCAATACAAGCAGAAAGTTTTTTATATCATTCAAATCGGACGCTTAGTTCTCTCAAAAACTGTCATGTTTTGCACATTAAGCTCTGTATCTTCGAAATGGCGGGTCCTGTCTTTGTCAAAAACTGATCACCTCTTCTCCCAATCATTACAAAGTGAATGTTTTTTAGATCATTCAAAACCGATACTCTTAAAAACTAAGTTACCGTTTTTGGCACTTTTTGCCCCATATCTTCGGAACAGCTAGACCTGCCTTCGCTAAAAACTAATCAGCACGCCTCCTTATCAATACAAATCAAACATTTTTTGAATTATTCAAATCGCTTTATCCGTGTTCCCGAAATCGTCGACGAAAATTTGTATCCGCACACACACATACACACACACACACATACACACACACACATACATCCTTTTTTTCTAAGGTATGCCAAAATGTTCAGAAGGTTATAAAACGATTTTTTTGCGATTACTATAACTTGCCCTATGGAAAGTTAAAAAAAAAGTTCCATGAAATGTACTTAAATTGTTACAAGAAAAGGGCTCGGCAGTTTATTACAAGAAAAGTAGTCGGTAGTTAATTACAAGAAAAGGGCTCGGTAGATTTTAACCTAAAACTAATCAGTATCATTCGCAACTAATATCTTTCGAACAGTTTTTGATTTTTTAAATCGATTTTTTAATCGATTCGGTAGTATGAGCTTAAATTTTGACGAAAAGTTTACATATATCAGGGTCTTATACAACTTATTGAAATATTACGGCCTTACGACATGTAGTTTAATTTTAAAAATTCATCAAAATTTGAGATAATGAGTAGATTGTTTGACGTTTGTTAAAATTAAAATTATACGATTTACTTGGTATAACGGTAGAGTACTTAGCATTAATGAACATACTAAACTATTAAAGTGCTATGGAAACTGGTTCAATTTTAAAAATTGTTGATTTGTGAAAATTTGCTTTTAGAAAATACTCCGAGTTAACGTGTTCATTCGTTTTCAAATATGTGTAATAAATCCACTCGGAATACTTTTTAATCACTCATAAATTAATTTATTTTTTATTGATTAAGTCGATTATTTATACATATCGGGAAGTTCATGTAACTTGCCTCAAGGCAAAATACAATTACCAACTAGTTTGCCATATAAATTACTACTACAATTTCTTTTTCAGGACCAAGTCAGTGGAAAAACTTTGCTCCTGAATGCGGAGGCATCAGACAATCACCAATTGCAATCGAAAAGAAAGACTTGGTCGTCGCCAGTGTTTGGAAAACTTTACAATGGAACGATTTTAGCAGATTACCAAGTGCCATGGAATTAGTTAACAACGGACATTCAGGTAATAATCATTTGTAGTGCAGTAAACTGATTTTTTTTTACTGTGCTCCAATTTGTATAAAATTTTGGGAATTAGGTTCATCATACCCTCAAGTTCAAAAGTGAAAACAATTCGGGTTCCGGAGGAATGACACCCATTCTCAATTGTGTAATTACATTTTTTCAAAATAACGTTGGTAATCGATAGAAGAACTAATTATAAGAAAAAATGTCTTTTAAAGTTTTTCAAAAAAAACTAATACTTTTCAAGTTACTGGCCACTAAAATTTCATATATTTTTGTCGTTTTTTTTTCGTTTTTTTGCAAATATCTCCTAAAATATACATTTTAACGAAAATCATGTGAATGAACAAAATAATGTCAATAAAATGTTTATTAAATCGGTGTTTTATAAAGCGTTCTGGGAATAATATTAAGCGAGGTTTGAAAGAGCAAAGTCGTTTTTTATTTCATTCAAGATTTAATTGCTGTATTTAAAGCCATCTAGTGGCGAGGTTTTACATTTTATACATTTCAGTGAAATTGGGTTTTATAGTGCTCAACATAAGCTTTAAATTGAGTGCTGTTACAAGTTTTTTGCGTGTAAAATGAGTGAGCTATCATGCAAATAAGAAGCATATACAATGTTTTTTTCTTTTAAATCATATGGTTTAATGAGCGCCATTTCCACCAGAATCAAAGTAATTCACATTCCATTTAGAATTCACTTTATTATAGACATCTTGATGGATACTAGCAGATTCACTACTTTAGTGCAAACTATTTTCAGAAAACTCTCGATTTTATAAAAACTTTTTTTCCTGATTTTTTTTAAAATGGAACTTATTATCATTATATCTCAAAAAGAATAAAATATAAATAGATAGAAATAGATAGAATAGAAATTGAAAAATATATAGAATAGAAAGATAAATAGATAGAAATAAAAGCATACAGATAGAAATCAAAGGGATCTTTTTGGCTTATTATTGTTTTTAATTATTTTCCTTTCACACAAAAATTGACAGAGTTATGATTGTTTAAAGAGTGCGCGGCCGCTCAATCAGAGTCTCTCTCGAACCCTTTAACCGTTCGCCTTTTCAAAATCAGAGGAGTTACGAAAAAAATTATGATGAAAAAAATGAAGCCCTTTTATTAACCTTTCAAATGGTATATTGCAAATTGTGATGGAGTCGAAATTAAAGGAAGTTATGACCCGAAAACTAATCGCATTATTGTCGAATTGTGTCCAAATTTCGAGCAATGTATAAGTAAGCAGTGTTTGGTGCCCAAAACTATTAATTATTTTTGAGAAATTGAAATAACATTCATATCATTTTGAATTTCTTAATTTTCTTTCAATTTCAAATAATTTTTTCAAACAATTTTTTCATCAAGGGGTTATTTTTAAGGATCTAAAAATTGTTAAAAATTTGATAATCAAGATAGAATACATAAAATATTATTTACTTTATACGTAATTCTTATTATATCATACCGAAATTTATTTTTAAGTGTTTTTTTTTCAATTTAGAGGTTGTTTGTAGGGTTTTAGTAGTTTCATGGGGTTGAAAATGATTTTATTGCAAGAAAATGTATTAAAAATATTTTTTAATTATGTTCTTCAATATTAAAAACGTTTTCTAGCGATAAAACAGCTCAATAGTCCCTTATTCATTAAGGGGTCGCAACCCGAATTGTTTTCACTTTTGAACTTGAGGATAAGATGAACCTAATACCAAAATTTCATGCAAATTGGAGCACAGTAAATAAAAATCAGAGGTTATACCCTTTTTTTCCTCTCCGTTTACAGCACTATCTAGTTTGTCAGTAATCTGGTTGAGTTGTCAGAAAGATGTTTAGCAGTTTTTTTGTCAGAAAGCTGGTTAAGTTATTTTGGCAGAAAGCTCGTTAGTTAGTTGAGAATATTTATCGATCATTTATAATCTAATATCTTTTCCCAGTGCAACTTTCGGCGACCTACTTTGGAGGACGAAGGCCAACAATTTCCCATGGCCCTCTGGTTGGTGATTACACTTTTGAGCAATTGCACTTTCATTGGGGCGGTGATGACCAACATGGATCCGAACACGTTGTGAACGGTGTTCAATATCCAATGGAATGCCATTTGGTGCACTGGAAATCCGAATATGGTTCCATGGGTGAAGCTTTGAAGCATACTGATGGAGTTGCTGTAGTTGCTTTCATGTTCGATTCTGTAAGTAACTAGTGGTGTATGGCATCGTGCCTTAAGGCAAATTGGTGGAACTTCCCGTGCCGTAATGAAATATTCGAGATTTTTTAAACATTTTCAAATATATTATTACATTATCAAATATATTTTGCTAAATGTAAATCAAAAATCAATTTATCTCCAGAACATTCATTAGCTATCGTCATTTCATTTCGAATTCAATTTCAAAAAAAAAATAGTTGCCCAATTTACACAAAATTGAAAAAGTGCTCCCGTATAGTCACAGTCTAAACGCATTTGCAAAAAATTCTGTGCGACATTTTCACTTATGCTGTGCTTAGCTTGGCGGCATTTTCACATTTTTCAATAGTTTTCACACAAAATTGGAAAAGCGGACCAGTTCATAAACAGTCTAAACGCACTTGGGTAAACCATTTGTACCAGAGTGGCGCTTAGACTGTGCTTAGCCTGGGTCATTTTTTTTTTCAATTTTTAATCCAAAATTACAACTAGTGGGGCGCGTGGCATCGTGCCTTAAGGCAAATTGCTGGAACTTCCCGTACCAAAATTATTTTTTTTTTAAAAAGATTAACATTTATGAAAAAAATAACTCTGAAAAATTAGATTTTTAAAAAACTATTATATAAATTGACAAAAATTACTTTTTTTGAAAAAAAAGACTTTTTAAAGCAAAATTTATTTTGAAATATTTTGGAAATTCTGAACATTTTTTCAAAGTAATCGTACAGCTTTAACTGCATAGAGACGAAATGTCAAAGCGCGTAAGCGCCGCGTCGCCGTCTAACGGATAAACATTGGTACGGAACCCATAGGAATGTAAACAAAATTTATACTAATAAATTAATATTTATAAATATCGGATAATTTTATGTGCATATGTCTAATGATCATTTTTGACCGCCAAATGGCATTTTTTTTAGTTTTTAAATTAGATCTCCGAAACCGCTAGACCTGCCTTCATGAAAATTCTTCATCAGTTCTTCATCTTGTTAATACAAGTATAATGTTTTTTGAATTATTTAAATCGGAAGCTCTGTTCTTTTAAAAACTGAGTAACCGTTTTTGGCATTTCTTGCCCCATATCTTCGAAACGGCTAGACCTGCCTTCGCCAAAAACTAATCAGCACGTCTCCTTATCAATACGAATCGAATGTTTTTTGAATTATTCGAATCGCTTTATCCGCGTTCCCGAAATCGTCGACGAAAATTTGTAACCGAACACACACACATACACGCACACACACACATACACGCACACACACACATACATCCATTTTTTCTGAGGTATGCCAAAATGTTCAGAAACCTTCAAAACGTCGAAAAATGCAAAAATTTTCATTTTCGATTTTCGGCCCATTACTATAATTACCCTACGGGAAGCTAATCAAAAAATTACCCAGGCTAAGCACAGTCTAAGCGCCACTCTGGTACAAATGTCTACCCAAGTGCGTTTAGACTGTGACTATACGGGAGCACTTTTTCAATTTTGTGTAAATTAGGCAACTATTTTTTTTTTTTTTTTGAAATTGAATTCGAAATTAAATAACGATTGTTAATGTTCTGGAGATAAATTGATTTATGATTTACATTTGATTATTTGCTCAGATATAACAAGATACTGTAAAAATAATGAAAGTTACAGTATTTGTAATAATATATTTGAAAACGTTTGGAATTTCTCGAATATTTCATTACGGTGCGGAAAGTTTCAGCAATTTGCCTTAAGGCACGATGCCATACACCACTAGTTTTATACCAAATTATTACGCAAAAATTTAAGTGATAACAAAGATAACTATAATAAAAATTATTCCGTCTAGTTTTACTATTTATGTTGTTCTCTTGTTTTTTAGAAAGAGGACAAAGACAATGCAGGTTTGGCCAAGATTATTTCTAAATTCAGTGAAGTCGGTTCAGGATCCGGCCCTGCTGTTGGGGTACAAGCTTTTCCTTTGACTGATCTGATTAGGCCATTTGTGGATAATTATGCCACTTATACAGGATCCCTTACTACACCACCATGTACTGAAGCAGTTACTTGGATAATTGCTTCTCAAACTCAGCAGATGTCCAAATCACAGGTGAAAGACACATACAGGTCTTCAGATATTCATTAAAATAAGGTTAAAAATGAGACAAACAGATTTAATACTGGAACTACTTAAATGGATATTAGATTCGTATTCAGCTTTTTGACATGTTAGAATATCGCATGCAATATGTGGTTTCAGATTTGCCTAAAGGCAGTTGCTGTTTTTGCACTATAAATTTAGTTGCATTATTTTGTTATAGAATAAATTCAAATAATAGTGAAAAATGCATTTGTATAGTGCTTTCTGAAACCTGTTATTTCAGTTCTATTTAATTTATCAAATATATAAAATATTACAACAGTTCGAATAAATATAAAAATTATCTTTCAAACCTTGGGGCTTATCATAGTACCTTGCGTAACTCCAAGCGTAATAAATCTTAAAAATGTTTTGAGTGTTTGATGAACTACTCGTTATGAACGATTATATCAGAATCAGTTTTGATTTGTTATAGTATAAACATAATTAAAAATATACATTAGTTCTGCATTGTGTTATCATATTCATTATGTGGTTCTAGATTTGCCTAAAGGCAGTTGCTGTTTTTGCACTATAAATTTAGTTGCATTATTTTGTTATAGAATCAATTCAAATAATAGTGAAAAATGCATTTGTATAGTGCTTTCTGAAACCTGTTATTTCAGTTCTAGTGAATTTATTAATTATATAAAATATTACAAAACTTCGAAAAAATATAAAAATTATCTTTCGAACTTTGGGGCTTAACGTAGTACCTTGCGTAACTCCAAGCGTAATATCAACCGCCAATTATTACCTTTTATGGTAAACCAAACTAAGACAGTTATCACATTCGTGTTTGGCTTATATATATATTATCTTTTGCCTATTGTCAAGTTGTTTTAATGAATAGAGCTTTTACTATATATTTATATATCTATATATATTTCTTTCACATTATATTATTATAAGTTGCAGAATTGTTTTTAGTTTATATAATTTAGGGTCCAAAATCTCGAAATTGTTATGAATAAGAAATATATCGAAATGTATTTTTTAGGTAATGAATATTGCATGTCATGTATAAATTAATGAATAAATAATATATTTATTTATCTATTTTTTTTCTTCAGATGGCAAAGATCCGTGAAGTCAGAGGACCGCATGGGCCAATTTCTGGAAACTTTAGACCGACCCAACCTCTAAATGGAAGAACAGTTTACTACATCCCTTATTAAAAATGATGCATTTTTAATAAAACAAATCAGGTAAATAATATTAATAGATAGAAATTTATACATATTTATATTCATAAAAAATTCCAATGAATTATTAATAAATTTAATTTTATTTCAGGATCTTAACGGACAATTGGACGGCAATGATTTTATAAAATTGGACCAAAAATGATTTTCAAGTCAACGCGTAGAATAATTTATATAACAAATACTTTTTTTAATTTGTTGTAACGCGTTTTTTTTAAACGATTGTTTTGTTTGTTGTTTATGTACAGTATTTTTGTTATATTTGTTGTTGTATTTAGAATATTATTTTTTATAGTATTGACATGTACAAACAATTGTATGTATTATATATAATAAGGCTTTTGTTTGAATAAAATATTATATTTTCAATTAATTATAACTTTTTTGTTCTATCGAACCTAACTATGTATTTAGCTATCGTATTTATTATGAAAATGTTCTAAATTTTTTTAAAATTAACGAATTACATTTTCAAAAATTCAAGAACATTCTAATAATATTTAGAACACTTTTGGACCATCTAGAACATTTCTTGACCATCGAGAACCTACTTAGAATTTTTTGACCATTTAGAGCATTTTTGAACCACCTGGAACATTTTTGGATCATCTAGAACATTTTTGAATTACCGAATTATATTTTCAAAAATTCAAGTACATTCTAATAATATTTAGAACACTTTTGGACTATCTAGAACATTTCTTGACCATCGAGTACCTACAAAATTTTTTTTTGACCATTCAGAGAATTTTTGAACCACCTAGAGCATTTTTGGATCATCTAGAACATTTTTGAATTACCGAATTATATTTTCAAAAATTCAAGAACATTCTAATAATATTTAGAACACTTTTGGACCATCTAGAACATTTCTTGACCATCGAGAACCTACTTAGAATTTTTTTGACCATTTAGAGCATTTTTGAACCACCTGGAACATTTTTGGATCATCTAGAACATTTTTGAATTACCGAATTATATTTTCAAAAATTCAAGAACATTTTAATAATATTTAGAACACTTTTGGACCATCTAGAACATTTCTTGACCATCGAGAACCTACTTAGAAATTTTTTTGACTATTCAGAGCATTTTTGAACCACCTAGAACATTTTTGGAACATCTAGAACATTTTTGAATTACCGAATTATATTTTCAAAAATGCAAGAACATTTTAATTTTCATTTCTTGACCATCGAGATCTTACTTAGAATTTTTTTTGACTATTTAGAGCATTTTTGAACCACCTAGAACATTTTTGGATCATCCAGAACTTTTTTGAATTACCAAATTATATTTTCAAAAATTTAAGAACATTTTAATAATATTTAGAACACTTTTAGACCATCTAGAACATTTCTTGACCATCGAGAACCTACTTAGAAATTTTTTTGACCATTCAGAGCATTTTTGAACCACCTAGAACATTTTTGGATCATCTAGAACATTTTTGAATTACTTAGAAAATTTTTGAACCTCCTAGAACATTTTTAGACGATCTAGAACATTTTTGAATCAGTAATATTTTCAAATTACAATATTTATGGATGATCTAGAACATTGAGAACATTATTCGAGTATTTATATATATTCAATAAATCTAGAACATTTTTGTGATATTATTAAGAACTTTACAGCACTATTCAGAACATTTAGATAAATCTAGAACATATAGAATATCATCGGAAAATGTCCTAGGTTGTCCTATAATGTTCTTGAAATTATAAAAATGTTCTAGAATTATTGAATATATTTAATTAGACACAAAATGTTTTAAATGTTCTTTACATTTTACATTTTACATTTATACATTTATACATTCTACATTTATACATTTATACATTTATACATTTATACATTTATACATGTATACATTTATACATTTATACATTTATACATTTATACATTTATACATGTATACATTTATACATTTATACATTTATACATTTATACATGTATACATTTATACATTTATACATTTATACATTTATACATTATACATTTATACATTTATACATTTATACATTTACATTTTACATTTTACATTTTACATTTTACATTTTACATTTTACATTTTACATTTATACATTTATACATTTATACATTCATACATTTATACATTTATACATTTTACATTTAAACATTCATACATTTATACATTTATATCATTTATACATTTATACATTTATACATTTATACATTTATACATTTATACATTTATACATTTATACATTTATACATTTATACATTTATACATTTATACATTTATACATTTATACATTTATATATTTATACATTTTACATTTTACATTTTACATTTATTTATTCAAATTTGAATTGAACTGATATGTTTATAATTAACGGTTTTTTAACGTCACACTAACGGATTCCGTTTTCTTGCATATGGTAACACCAAACCGCGTGCTCGAAAATTCATTGACAGTTCGCGTCGACCATTACGAATAAATCAGTTGCTCGAAAATGTTGTAAAATTGCTAAAAAGTGCTTTTAATTGTGAATTTAAGAGGTCATCGTTAGCTGAAATGATGCAGAAATAAAGCTGAGATACCGGAGGAAAGGTATAGATAAGTTTTTGTTTAAATCTTTTGACTTTTTGGAGAGATTACTCTTTGCAAATGTACGTTGCTGTAGCCTGTCATGGAGGTTTGAAGAAAGGGTATGATTTTAATTATTTTTAAATAAATGCATATACATGCGTATATGTTACATGCATATATACATGTATATGGATGTAATATTATATTCTGTGTTTTCACGATTACAACCAAATTTTATATCAATCTTACAAAATATTCACCCTAACCTACAAATTACATGAATTGGTTCTAACAAATAGAATCCAATTAGAATCTAAATGTATAGGTAAGAAATTCTCAATATATAATAGTATGATTGTACAGAACTAATCTACAATCACAGATGCAGTCAACTATTGTTGTAATCGAGCAATTACAAATTTAATTTGTACAAGTACAGTTCTAGTCGTATGAGTACAATGCATTTGGGCAAATATGATGAACTGTAATTGTGTGGTTGTTTGGATGACTCCTGTGATTATCAGAGGTTGGTTGGTTGATTGGTAGCTATAGCTGAACGGTTGATAAGATAAAAACACTGGTTCTTGGTTGATCTTGATATTTTTATTGTTTATTATTTTTACAATCAAATAATTTGTTTGATAACCTTTTGGTTATCGATAATCAGAGACTACTTTTAAGTATCTAAACAGTAAGCCTGACTTGACTCCTGACTTCTGACTGTCTAACTAAATCTTAACTTCTTTTTATATACTAAATAATTGTACATAAAACGTGATTCCAGAATCTAACAGCAAGGCCGGGAGAACTTTGATAACCTTCAAATAGCACGTAGTGCTCTAATAAAAACAATAAATAACAAATTATATTTGTGATTACAAAATAATGGATACAGTCGTTCAACTATAGATGTAGTCGAGCAAGTACAGTTGTAGTCATGCAATTACAATTGTAGTCGTGCTAGTACAGTTGTAGTCGTGCAATTACAGTTGTAGTCGAGCAAGTACATTTGTAGTCCTTTTACTACATTTGTAGTCCTTCTACTAAATTTGTAGTCGTGAAAGTACATTTGTAGCCATGCTAGTACATTTGCAGTCGTGCAATTACAGTTGTAGTCGTACAATTGCATTTGTAGTCGTGTTATTGCAGTTGTAGTCGTGCTTCAACAGTTGCAGTCGAGCAAGTACAGTTGTAGTCGTGCTAGTACATTTGTGGTCGTGCTGGTACAGTTGTAGTCGTGCAGGTACAGTTGCAGTTATGCAAGTACATTTGTAGTCGTGCATTAACAGATGCAGTTGTAGTATGCAGTCATGCTGGTTTAAATAATTTTGTGACACAATTCTAATTATGATTTTATTCAAATATGAGCATTGTTTTATATACAAGCAGAGAAATCAGTAAATCTTTAGACAATTGGATATTCATAAGGAAATTGTTAATTTGGCAGGGAACAGGTAACATACTCAATTTGTAGTAATCGAGTACATATGAGGTCGAACAAGTACAATTGTAGTCGTATTACAAGTTGGCTTTGGAAAGATGGGTCATTAAAATATTAGATCATCAGTCGAGAAACTTTTTTAATATTAACTACGAAATATTTTTCATAAGTAGCATTTATCCCATAGCAAGGAAACAAAAATTTGCCTTTAGGCAAGTAGCATGAACTTTTCGATATGTGTAAATAGTCAACTTGATCAATAAGAAATCAAAATTTTAATTTGAATGATATATAAGAATATAGATTTGTTGAAGAGCAATGTATTGTAAAAAAATTACTGCAGCTTATCTAGTTAAAAAACATTCAGCCAACACTTCTGATGATTTTTTTTCTGTTTTATCAATTTGAGACAATTTTTCAGTATCTGGTGTTTTAATAATCATTGAAGAACAACATTGGTAAATTTCAAAATCGTAGTACAAACGGTGCGTCCTGCAGAGCTCGCTGAAAATGCAACTTCTATCACTAGTACGAAAACTATTAACTACAGAATTGTACAAAATCTTTTATAACTATTATTATTTGATACAAATTGTCAATTTTAGTATTTTGTATTCTAATAAACATATAATAAGGCAGCATTGTTAAATTTCAACATCGTAGTACAAACGTTGCGTCCTGTAGAGCTCGTTAAAGATGCAACTTTTATCACTAGTATGAAACTCATGAAGTACAGAAGTTGATAAAATCTTTTATAACTGATTTTATTTGATAGAAATTGTCAATTTTAATATATTGTTTAACAATAAACGTATAAATAGACAACATTATTAATTTCCAAGATCGTAGCACAAACGGTGCGTCCTGTAGAGCTCGTTGAAAATGTAACATTCATCACTAGTACGAAAACTATCTAGTGCAGAATTGTACAAAATCTTTTACAACTGGTTTCATTTGATACAAATTGTCAATTTTAGTATTTTGTTCCAAAATAAACATATTATAAGACAACACTATTAATTTACAAGATTGTAGTACAAATGGTGCGTCCTGTAGAGCTCATCGAAAATGCAACTTTTATCACTAGTATAAAACTCATGAAGTGCAGGAGTGGATAAAATCTTTTATAGCCAGTTTTATTTGTTAACAATCGACAATTTTAATATTTTGAATTTTCTTAAATATATTAAAGAATAATTTGCATTAGTTTATCGCATTATAATGTTGATTTCTTATGGATTATGTCTATCATTTACACATTTCGAGAAGTTAATGAAACTTGCCTTAAGGCAAAATGCGACTTACAACTAGTTCATTTCAAAATTATCTCTAATGATAACTACTATCAACTTACAACAATTTAATTACAAACATTTGCCATTTATTTCTAAACTGGTATTAAAAAAATATGGTATCCAAAAAACATCATAAAACATATTTCCACCCAAAAAACTTGTACATTTATTATAACGTTCACGGTAAAATACTGATCAACTATTTCGCTCTAATGTTCCATGGATTCTCATAAGATTTTTTGTTCTCTTGATTCAAATTTTATTGAAAGTGACACCACTTTTTGGCGGTACGAACTTGATTCTGCGCCCATTTAGGCCCTGAATAGGCCTAAAATTATCGCTGATGGATCTTCGGTGGCCAGCGAGACGTCTGAAGCAATTTAACTGAAAAAGGGTAAAAAAATATTAAAATTTCGATATTAAGATGACCAATGATGACGACAAATTTAAAAGAAAAATAAAGAAATACTATAAAAAATTGATGATTGAATAGATATTTCAATTATAATACATATTATATTTTTGTATAATGAAGTAGACAAATAATATGTATATATATATATATATATATATATATATATATAATAACATTATTTCATAATTTCTCATACCAGATACCCCTGTCTGACTGAGATATGAAAATTATATATAAATAAATAAAAAAAAATCGATCCAAGCAAGAATGGATAATTTGGCTGACAAGTTATTGGCTAAATTATAGGGAACCTAGGTAAATGACAAGAATTGGTTGATAGGGAATTGGTTAAATAAATCAGTAGAAAGCTGTTTAAATTTGCAAAAAATAGTTAGCAAAATTGTTTGAAGTGTCACTAAACTGCCTACTGCCAATATGGGCAATTTTCTGTGAACTCTGCTAGGTTTTTTTGCTGCTTCAACTAGAAATTTAGGAACCACAATTTTTGATTAGAAGGAAGCTAATTAAATTGATAAGAGGCTGGTTCATTTGTCTGGAAGCTGGTTTATTTATTAATCTAGTTTGCCTGGGACCTAGTTTGTCTGGGACCTAGTTTGTCTGGGACCTAGTTTGTCTGGGACCTAGTTTGTCAGGAATCCCGTTTGGTTTGTCAGGAATCCCGTTTGGTTTGTAAGGAATCCCGTTTGGTTTGTCAGGAATCCCGTTTGGTTTGTCAGGAATCCCGTTTGGTTTGTCAGGAATCCCGTTTGGTTTGTCAGGAATCCCGTTTGGTTTGTCAGGAATCCCGTTTGGTTTGTCAGGAATCCCGTTTGGTTTGTCAGGAATCCCGTTTGGTTTGTCAGGAATCCCGTTTGGTTTGTCAGGAATCCCGTTTGGTTTGTCAGGAATCCCGTTTGATTTGTCAGGAATCCCGTTTGGTTTCTCAGGAATCCCGTTTGGTTTCTCAGGAATCTCGTTTGGTTTGTCAGGAATCCCGTTTGCCAGGAATCTAGCAGTAGTTTGTCTGAAATCCTGCAGTAGTTTGTCTGGAATCCTGCAGCAGTTTGTCTGGAATCTATCAGTAGTTTGTCAGGAATCTGGTTTGTCTGTCAGGAATCTGGTTTGTCTGTCAGGAATCTGGTTTGTCTGTCAGGAATCTGGTTTGTCTGTCAGGAATCTGGTTTGTCTGTCAGGAATCTGGTTTGTCTGTCAGGAATCTGGTTTGTCTGTCAGGAATCTGGTTTGTCTGTCAGCAATCTGGTTTGTCTGTCAGCAATCTGGTTTGTCTGTCAGCAATCTGGTTTGTCTGTCAGCAATCTGGTTTGTCTGTAAGGACTCTGATTTGTTTGTCTGTCAGGAATCTGGTTTGTTTGTCTGTCAGGAATCTGGTTTGTTTGTCTGTCAGGAATCTGGTTTGTTTGTCTGTCAGGAATCTGGTTTGTTTGTCTGTCAGGAGTCTGGTTTGTCTGTCAGGAGTCTGGTTTGTCTGTCAGGAGTCTGGTCTGTCTGTCAGGAGTCTGGTTTGTCTGTCAGGAGTCTGGTTTGTCTGTCAGGAGTCTGGTTTGTCTGTCAGCAGTCTGGTTTGTCTGTCAGCAGTCTGGTTTGTCTGTCAGCAGTCTGGTTTGTCTGTCAGCAGTCTGGTTTGTCTGTCAGCAGTCTGGTTTGTCTGTCAGCAGTCTGGTTTGTCTGTCAGCAGTCTGGTTTGTCTGTCAGGAATCTAGCAGTAGTTTGTCAGGAATCTGGTGTTTGTTTGCTAGGAATCTGGTGTTTATTTGCCAGGAATCTGGTGTTTGTTTGCCAGGAGTCCACTTTGTCAGTAATCTGGTGTATATTTGCCATGAATCTGGTGTATGTTTGCCATGAATCTGGTGTTTGTTTGTCAGTAATCTGGTTGAGTTGTCAGAAATCTGTTTAGTTTTTTTTGGCAGAAAGCTGGTTAAGTTATTTTGGCAGAAAGCTGGTTAGTTAGTTGACAATGTTTATCGATCATTTATCCTACCTGTTGAGCAGTGATAGGCAACGGATCCAAATCCAAAATCCAAGTTACAGATTCACTGCATGGGGGCACAGTTAAAGATCCTGGATAAGTCACATAGTTATCTGTAAAAGTTGGAAGCAACGTTGTCAAAGGCATCGGAGGCACTCGTACCTCTGGACCTGGAGTCTCTATTGCTTGGAACTTATCCACAATCAAGGACAGGCCGGACTCTACATTATCCTGGAAATTGAAAAACTCATGATCACTTTGGATTACCTAAAAGAGTCCTTTATCCCTTACCTTCATTTCGTACAAGTATCCAACAATGACCAATCCATCCGAGTACCTCAGAGCCTTCTCAAAGGATCCGTAATCTTGTTTGTAATGCAAAACATGTACTTCCATCGGGTACTGGGTACCTCCTACAGAGTGTTCAGAACCTCTCTGATTAGTGGAACCCCAATGGAAGGTCAGGTGTTCGAAAACGTAGTTGTTGTTGGCTCCCAAAGGACCTCCGACTAGAGTTGGGCGCATCGATTCGAACCACTCGCCAGTGAGACGAACTAAATTTAGTGAAAAAATATGAAGTGTGGATATAGAAGATGTTAGGATATTGTTTACCATAGTGGCCATCGTTCTGTATGGATAATGTTGCTGGAAGCCTAGAATAATGCTGCCAAAGCAAAGGTTGATCTGGTGCAATTTTAGCACAATCCTTAGGATCTATCGCCACAGGCGATTGTCTGATACCACCGCTTTCGGTCGCAAAATTTATCCACTTGCTGGGACCTAGGAATGTAAACTGAAATTGCTGCAGTGTTCAAAGACCAATGAAACTTGAATCTTCTATTCTTACCATATGGATCATTGTCATCATACGAATATGAATGTTGCAGACTAATATCCTTAGTTTTGACAGTCGTTGGTTTTGGAGATGTGGTTTCAGTAGGTGGTGTAGGTGTTTTTTTATCGCTGGGAGTTTTAGGAGCTGGTTCCATTATGTGAGCCAGAGCAGCTTCGGCCAATTGGCTAGCTGATTGGGCTGGACTGATGTGCAGGTTTTTGAGACCTGAAAAATGGACAGAAACATTTATTTGATGTTTATGTTGGTTAAAGAATTGGTAGTTTAGATTTATACTGAGCTCAGGGTTTCTCAAGGTTTAGTTATGAGTTGCCTATTTTCTGTGTGAGTTGACCAACTGTTGACTGACTGTTTTTCTGTGTGAGTTGACTGACAGTTTTTCTGTGTGAGTTGACTGACTGTTGTCTGTTTTTTTGTATGAGTTGACCGACTGTTTTTCTGTCTGAGTTGACCGACTGTTTTTCTGTCTGAGTCGACCGACTGTTTTTCTGTCTGAGTTGACTGGCTGTTTTCTGTCTGAGTTGACTGGCTGTTTTCTGTCTGAGTTGACTGGCTGTTTTCTGTCTGAGTTGACTGGCTGTTTTCTGTCTGAGTTGACTGGCTGTTTTCTGTATGAGTTGACTGTTTGTTTTCTGTATGAGTTGACTGTTTGTTTTCTGTATGAGTTGACTGTTTGTTTACTGTATGGGTTGACTGTTTGTTTTCTGTATGAGTTGACTGTTTGTTTTCTGTATGAGTTGACTGACTGTTTTCTGTATGAGTTGACTGACTGTTTTCTGTATGAGTTGACTGTTTGTTTTCTGTATGGGTTGACTGTTTGTTTTCTGTATGGGTTGACTGTTTGTTTTCTGTATGAGCTGACTGTTTGTTTTCTGTTTGAGTTGCCTGACTGTTTGTTTTCTGTATGAGTTGACTGGCTGTTTTTCTGTGTGAGTGAGTTGACTGGCTGTTTTTCTGTGTGAGTGAGTTGACTGGCTGTTTTCTGTATGAGTTCGACTGACTGTGTTCTGTATGAGTTGACTGTTTGTTTTCTGTATGAGTTGACTGTTTGTTTTCTGTATGAGTTGACTGTTTGTTTTCTGTCTGAGTTGACTGACTGTTTTCCTGTCTGAGTTGACTGACTGTTTTTCTGTATGAGTTGACTGACTGTTTTCTGTATGAGTTGACTGGCTGTTTTCTGTATGAGTTGACTGGCTGTTTTCTGTATGAGTTGACTGGCTGTTTTCTGTATGAGTTGACTGACTGTTTTCTGTCTGAGTTGACTGACTGTTTTCTGTCTGAGTTGACTGACTGTTTTCTGTCTGAGTTGACTGACTGTTTTCTGTCTGAGTTGACTGACTGTTTTCTGTCTGAGTTGACTGACTGTTTACTGTCTGAGTTGACTGACTGTTTACTGTCTGAGTTGACTGACTGTTTACTGTCTGAGTTGACTGACTGTTTTCTGTCTGAGTTGACTGACTGTTTTCTGTCTGAGTTGACTGACTGTTTACTGTCTGAGTTGACTGACTGTTTACTGTCTGAGTTGACTGACTGTTTACTGTCTGAGTTGACTGACTGTTTTCTGTCTGAGTTGACTGACTGTTTTCTGTCTGAGTTGACTGGCTGTTTGCTGTGTGAGTGAGTTGACTGGCTGTTTTTCTGTGTGAGTGAGTTGACTGGCTGTTTTTCTGTGTGAGTGAGTTGACTGGCTGTTTTTCTGTGTGAGTGAGTTGACTGGCTGTTTTTTTTGTGTGAGTGAGTTGACTGGCTGTTTTTCTGTGTGAGTGAGTTGACTGGCTGTTTTTCTGTGTGAGTGAGTTGACTGGCTGTTTTTCTGTGTGAGTGAGTTGACTGGCTGTTTTTCTGTGTGAGTGAGTTGACTGGCTGTTTTTCTGTGTGAGTGAGTTGACTGGCTGTTTTTCTGTGTGAGTGAGTTGACTGGCTGTTTTTCTGTGTGAGTGAGTTGACTGGCTGTTTTTTCTGTGTGAGTGAGTTGACTGGCTGTTTTTCTGTGTGAGTGAGTTGACTGGCTGTTTTTCTGTGTGAGTGAGTTGACTGGCTGTTTTTTCTGTGTGAGTGAGTTGACTGGCTGTTTTTCTGTGTGAGTGAGTTGACTGGCTGTTTTTCTGTGTGAGTGAGTTGACTGGCTGTTTTTCTGTGTGAGTGAGTTGACTGGCTGTTTTTCTGTGTGAGTGAGTTGACTGGCTGTTTTTCTGTGTGAGTGAGTTGACTGGCTGTTTTTCTGTGTGAGTGAGTTGACTGGCTGTTTTTCTGTGTGAGTGAGTTGACTGGCTGTTTTTCTGTGTGAGTGAGTTGACTGGCTGTTTTTCTGTGTGAGTGAGTTGACTGGCTGTTTTTCTGTGTGAGTGAGTTGACTGGCTGTTTTTCTGTGTGAGTGAGTTGACTGGCTGTTTTTCTGTGTGAGTGAGTTGACTGGCTGTTTTTCTGTGTGAGTGAGTTGACTGGCTGTTTTTCTGTGTGAGTGAGTTGACTGGCTGTTTTTCTGTGTGAGTGAGTTGACTGGCTGTTTTTCTGTGTGAGTGAGTTGACTGGCTGTTTTTCTGTGTGAGTGAGTTGACTGGCTGTTTTTCTGTGTGAGTGAGTTGACTGGCTGTTTTTCTGTGTGAGTGAGTTGACTGGCTGTTTTCTGTGTGAGTGAGTTGACTGGCTGTTTTTCTGTGTGAGTGAGTTGACTGGCTGTTTTTCTGTGTGAGTGAGTTGACTGGCTGTTTTTCTGTGTGAGTGAGTTGACTGGCTGTTTTTCTGTGTGAGTGAGTTGACTGGCTGTTTTTCTGTGTGAGTGAGTTGACTGGCTGTTTTTCTGTGTGAGTGAGTTGACTGGCTGTTTTTCTGTGTGAGTGAGTTGACTGGCTGTTTTTCTGTGTGAGTGAGTTGACTGGCTGTTTTTCTGTGTGAGTGAGTTGACTGGCTGTTTTTCTGTGTGAGTGAGTTGACTGGCTGTTTTTTCTGTGTGAGTGAGTTGACTGGCTGTTTTTCTGTGTGAGTGAGTTGACTGGCTGTTTTTTCTGTGTGAGTGAGTTGACTGGCTGTTTTTCTGTGTGAGTGAGTTGACTGGCTGTTTTTCTGTGTGAGTGAGTTGACTGGCTGTTTTTCTGTGTGAGTGAGTTGACTGGCTGTTTTTCTGTGTGAGTGAGTTGACTGGCTGTTTTTCTGTGTGAGTGAGTTGACTGGCTGTTTTTCTGTGTGAGTGAGTTGACTGGCTGTTTTTCTGTGTGAGTGAGTTGACTGGCTGTTTTTCTGTGTGAGTGAGTTGACTGGCTGTTTTTCTGTGTGAGTGAGTTGACTGGCTGTTTTTCTGTGTGAGTGAGTTGGCTGGCTGTTTTTCTGTGTGAGTGAGTTGACTGGCTGTTTTTCTGTGTGAGTGAGTTGACTGGCTGTTTTTCTGTGTGAGTGAGTTGACTGGCTGTTTTTCTGTATGAGTTGACTGGCTGTTTTTCTGTATGAGTTGACTGGCTGTTTTTCTGTATGAGTTGACTGGCTGTTTTTCTGTGTGAGTGGGTTGACTGGCTGTTTTTCTGTGTGAGTGGGTTGACTGGCTGTTTTTCTGTGTGAGTGGGTTGACTGGCTGTTTTTCTGTGTGAGTGGGTTGACTGGCTGTTTTTCTGTGTGAGTGGGTTGACTGGCTGTTTTTCTGTGTGAGTGGTTGACTGGCTGTTTTCTGTGTGGGTTGACTGGCTGTTTTTCTGTATGAGTTGACTGGCTGTTTTTCTGTGTGAGTGAGTTGACTGGCTGTTTTTCTGTGTGAGTGAGTTGACTGGCTGTTTTTCTGGGTGAGTGTGTTGACTGGCTGTTTTTCTGGGTGAGTGAGTGGACTGGCTGTTTTTCTGTGTGAGTGAGTTGACTGGCTGGTTTTCTGTGTGAGTGAGTTGACTGGCTGTTTTCTGTGTGAGGTTGACTGGCTGTTTTCTGTGTGAGTGAGTTGACTGACTGTTTTCTGTATGAGTCGACTGACTGTTTTCTGTCTGAGTCGACTGACTGTTTTCTGTCTGAGTCGACTGACTGTTTTCTGTCTGAGTCGACTGACTGTTTTCTGTATGAGTCGACTGACTGTTTTCTGTATGAGTTGACTGACTGTTTTCTGTTCGAGTTGACTGTTTGTTTTCTGTTCGTTTTTTGGGTGTGTTGACTGACTGTTTTTCTGTGTGAGTTGACTGTGTGTTTTCTGTATGAGTTGACTGTGTGTTTTCTGTATGAGTTGACTGTGTGTTTTCTGTATGAGTTGACTGTGTGTTTTCTGTATGAGTTGACTGTGTGTTTTCTGTATGAGTTGACTGACTGTTTAATGTTTGAGTTGACTGACTGTTTAATGTTTGAGTTGACTGACTGTTTAATGTTTGAGTTGACTGACTGTTTAATGTTTGAGTTGACTGACTGTTTTCTGTATGAGTTGACTGACTGTTTTCTGTTCGAGTTGACTGACTGTTTTCTGTTCGAGTTGACTGTTTGTTTTCTGTATGGGTTGACTGTTTGTTTTCTGTATGGGTTGACTGTTTGTTTTCTGTATGGGTTGACTGTTTATTTTCTGTGTGAGTTAGTTGTATGACTGTTTTTCTGTGTGAGTGAGTTGACCGACTGTTTTTCTGTGTGAGTGAGTTGACCGACTGTTTTTCTGTGTGAGTGAGTTGACTGACTGTTTTTCTGTGTGAGTTGACCGTTTTTTGTATGGATTGACTGGCTGTTTGTTTTCTGTTTGAATTGACTGACTGTTGTTCCGTGAGAGTTGACTGGCTGCTTTTCTGTGTGAGTGAGTTGACTGGCTGCTTTTCTGTGTGTGTGAGTTGACTGGCTGCTTTTCTGTGTGAGTGAGTTGACCGACTGTTGTCTGTGTACCAGTTGCTATAGTTGTCTTTGATTTTTTAGTTGTCTTATCTATTAAATATTTTTCTATCATTTGCCTTCGATGTGATCCTGCATCTGCACAACAACCGGATCAGCAATCTGGACTTCCTTCCTTTCGACTTTCACGTTATCAGCACAACTTGCATCTGGTAAAAGAGGAGCTGCTTCATTGTGAGCAGCTGCAACAGCATGTTCTTCCGAAGGATTCTAAAAAAAACAACGAAATCAATAAAACTGGAAAAACATTTTGACATCGTCACTTCTTCTTACTTGTTTTTCTGGTGCAAAAATACTCAGATGTCTTTCAAATCCAAGATCTTCATCATCGGTCATATGCGGATTGAAAGTTTCAGTGAAATTGGGAAACGAAGGATCTAAAGGCTGGACGTAGTACAAAGTTCTTCCATGTAAGGGCTGGCAAGGACGGAAATTGTCGCACATGAGCCCATAGGATGAATGTAAGGTCCGGAAACGTTCGATCTAGAAAAAACTCATTTTAATATATTTTATATGCTACAAATTGCTGTCGCCATTTACCTGTTGTTTAGTGACATACAAAGATTGCAAATTCAGGATCCATATAACATTTTCAGTGCAAGGTGGTGTTGTTAAAGACCCTGGATAAGTTATGTAATTGTAGGAGAAAGGACTTATCAAAGTTGCCAAAGGTACTGGAGTCACCGTGTTGAAACTTACTGGTGTCACAATGTCTTTAAAACCTTCTGTTACTTGGTGCATACCAGACATTGTAGCTTCTGGAATCTACACAATTGATAGTAAAATATATCATCAAATGCTGGCTTGTGATTTATATTTACCCCAATTTCGTAAAAATAAGCCACGACCACGATTCCATCGGAGTATCTCAAGGCCAAGTTCATGGTACCATAGTCTTCTTTAAAATGGACAGCATGAGCTTCCATAGGATACTGTATGCCATTTATTAAATGTTCGGAACCTTTTTCATCAGTGGAACCCCAATGGAAGTGCAATTGTTCAAATACATACCTGCTATTGCCCAAAGGACCATCAGTGATGTAAGGGCATACTGTTGGGCACCAATCGGCTAGAAAAGGGGAATAAGATGAGGAGTAATAGGGATACAAATAGATGTTTTAAGTAGGGTTTGTCGGTTTTCGAAAACCGATTTTAAAAACCGTTTTTTTTGGCGAAAGTTATGGAATTCGAAAACCGTTTTTTTAGTGAAAAAAGTCGGTTTTCACTGTATAAATGGAAAATGACAAATATAGCCAAATATAAAAGATAGATGAAAGCGTTTTGATTCTTGAAATCATATCGTTTCAATAGCATTTCATATCTTATCACAGTCTGCAATGGTTCCCAGAAATTGTATATATTTATTTAGATTTTTATACCAGTCTATATATTAATTTAAATCAGTGTGACTTCTTGAAGAAGTAACTTCCTCTACTCAAACTTAAAAAAGAGTTTTAAACCCTAGAAGTCACAAATTAAAGAACAAAAAACTTAAAATTATTATATCAGGCTTTAAAAACAATTAAGCATAATTTGGTGGAAAGTATGAGAGTATTTTCTATTTCAGGAAATTTTGTGAGTAAGCAAAGGACACGTCTAAGTAGCAATTCGATAGACGTTCTCAGTTTTTTGGAATCATATTTTATTAAACAAAAAACAATTAGAATGTTTAAAATTAATTAATTAAAATTGCTCGGAACAGACAATACTCGAGTTTAGCTTAATTGTTTTTAAAACTAAAATTGATATTAACAAGTATGTATTAACATGTATGTTAAATTTTTAATTTATTGCATTTTTATTTTAAAAATGTATTTTTTTTATTTATCCAAAAACTTTCCTTTTACTATCAAAAATATTTTCATTCTTATATGTGAAAATGATGCAAATAACGAATAATTATTTTCAAACTAAAATTGATATTAACAAGTACCGACATGTACAGTATTAACATGTATCAACATGTATCTTATATTTTTATTATTTTTTTTATTTATTTTTTTTTTATTTAAAAATGTATTATTTTTATTAATTCGAAAACTTTCCTTTCACTATTATAAATATATTTTTATTCCTATATGTGAAAATGATGCATGAATAACGAATAATTATTTTCAAAGTGATTTAATCAAGATAAACTATTATTTTTTAGTTCTACTAATTAAAATTAAAATAATTTTGTTTACTATCCATAAAATTGAACAATAAATAAATTCAGTCAAATACTGCTCTAAATTACACTAAATTTGCGGATAAATTACAGAATATTCTAGTAAAAATTTATTTGCTATATAAAATTCGAAAACCGGTCAAAACCGGTTTTTTAGTAAAATTAAAATTCGAAAACCGGTTTTCTGAAATGTCGGTTTTTGCATGAACCGACTGAATTTTGTATTGGTGTTTTAAGTTACCTGTATACATGACAGAATGTCCATTATTGGTGACTTTAGCATGAAAAGGATCAAACTGCGTGTTTTGCCAATGCAAAGGCTTTTGGTAAGTTGTTTTTATCACGTCCTGAGGCCGAATTTCGATAGGGCTTTGACGTGTTCCTGCACTTTCTGGCACTATATCCTTCCACTTACTGGGACCTAAACACGTTTGTATTATTGTTATGAATGTATTACAATTTGGATGCGTATTTTTAACTTCTTTTAACAGTTATAGTAATGGGCCGAAAACCGAACATGAAATTTTTTTGCATTTCTCGACATTTTGAAGGTTTCTGAAATTTTGGCATACCTCAGAAAAAATTGATGTGTGTGTGTGTGTTTTATATGTACGCATTGTTTAACTTCCCGTAGGGTGAGTTTATAGTAATCGCAAAAAAATCGAAAATGAAAATTTTTATATACCTTTACGTTTCAAAACCTTCTGAACATTTTGGCATACCTTAGAATGGATGTATTGTGTGTTGTGGTGTGTATGTGTGCGTGTGTGGTGTGTGTGCGGATACAAATTTTGTCGACGACTTCGGAACACGGATGAAGCGATTTGAATATTTCAAAAAACATTCGATTTGTATTGATAAGGAGACGTGTGCTGATCAGTTTTTGGCGAAGGCAGGTCTAGCCGTTCCGAAGATATGGGGCAAAAAGTGCTAAAAACGGTAACTCAGTTTTTAAGAGAACGGAGCGTGCGATTTGAATAATTCAAAAAACATTTACTTGTATTAACAAGATGAAGAATTGAACAAGTTTTCATGAAGGCAGGTCTAGCAGTTTCGGAGATCTAGTGAAAAGTAAAAAAATGTCATCTGGTGGTCAAAATGATCACTAGACATATGCACATCAAATTTTTCAGATATTTTATAGAGATTTTAACAATAAGTATAAATTTTGTTTACATTCCTATGGGTTCCGTACCAATGTTTATTCGTTTGTCGGCGACGCGGCGCTTACGCGCTTTGATATTTCGTTGCAGTTAAAGCAGTACGATTGCTTTGAAAAAAGGTTCAGAATTTCCAAAATATTTCAAAATAAATTTTTCATCAGTCTTTTTTTTCTCAAAAAAAGTAAATTTTTGTCAAATTTATAGTTTCTCAAAAATCTAATTTTTTCAGAGTGAATCTTCTTCAAAAACGTTAATCTTTTTATAATCAAATAATTTTGGTACGGGAAGTTCCAGCAATTTGCCTTAAGGCACGATGCCTTGCATCCCACTAGTTCGTCCACGTTTTTGGGCGCACGGATCAACCGATTTTAATGGTTTAAAAAACATTCGGTCCCTATTGATAGGGAGATATCTGATTAGTTTTTAGCAAAGGCAGATCCCGCCATTTCGAAGATACAGTGCTAAATTTGCAAAAATGGCAGTTTTTGAGTGAACTAAGCGTCCGATTTGAATGATCTAAAAAAACTTTCTGCTTGTATTGACAAAACAATTGCTTTTGATGATAAAAATCTAGTGGGGCGCATGGCATTGTGCCTTAAGGCAAATTGCTGGAACTTCTCGTACTAATTTATTTTCTTCTAAAAAGATTAACATTTTTGAAAAAAATTTACTTTGTACAAATTAGATTTTTGAGAAACTATAAAATTTTGACAATTTTTTTTTTTTTTTTCTGAAGAAAAGACCTTTTGAAAAAAATGTTTTATATTGAAATCTTTTAGAAATTCCGAACTTTTTTTCAAAGCAATCGTACTGTTTTAACTGCATAGAGACGAAATATCGAAGCGCGTAAGCGCCGCGTCGACGTCTAACGAATAAACATTGGTACGGAACCGATAGGAATGTAAACAAAATTTAAACTTACTGTTAAATGAAATTTGTTGTGCATATGTCTAATGATCATTTTTGACCGCCAAATGACATTTTTTTTTTTACTTTTTTCATTAGATCTCCGAAACCGCTAGACCTGCCTTCATGAAAATTTGATCAATTATTCATCTTGTGTCAATACAAGTAAAATGTTTTTTGAATTATTAAAATCGGACGCTCCGTTCTCTAAAACTGAGTTAGCGTTTGTGGCACTTTTTGCCCCGTATCTTCGGAACGGCTAGACCTGCCTTCGCCAAAAACTAATCAGCACGTCTCTTTATCAACACGAAATGAATGTTTTTTGAATTATTCAAATCGGTTGATCCGTGTTCCCGAAATCGTCGACGAAAATTTGTATCCGCACACACGCCCACATACATACACACACACACACATACATCCATTTTTTCTAAGGTATGCCAAAATATTCAGAAACCTCTGAAACGTAAAGATACATAAAAATTTTCATTTTCAAGTTTTTTGCGATTACTATAACTTACCCTACGGGAAGTTAATTATTATCTTTTTTCCATTTTCCATAAAATATTTCTAAAATTTTGAATTAAAAATTCAAAAAATTACCCAGGGTAAGCACAGTCTAAGCGCCACTCTGGTACAAATGTTCACCCAAGTGCGTTTAGACTGTTCAAGTACGGCGCACTTTTCCCATTTTGTGAGAAAACTATTGAAAAATGTGAAAATTCCGCCAAGCTAAGCACAGTATAAGTGAAAATGTCGCACAGAATTGTTTGCAAATGCGTTTAGACTGTGACTATACGGGAGCACTTTTTCAATTTTGTGCAAATTAGTAGGCAACTTTTTTTTTGAAATTGAATTCGAAATGAAATGACGATTGCTAATGTTCTGGAGATAAATTGATTTATGATTTACATTTGATTTGCTCAGATATAACAAGGTAGCAAAAATGAGTGTCACAGTATTTGTAATAATATATTTATAAATTTCTCGAATATTTCATTACGGTACGGGAAGTTTCAGCAATTTGCCTTAAGGCACGATTCCATACACCACTAGTTTTTTACCTATTGGTGAGTTCTCGTCGTAGGAAAACGTATAACGTGCATGTCCATACTGATTACGTTCACGATGACACAGGGCACTGGTGTGTATTTGCCTTGGAATATGCCTCAGACAAGGTTTTTTGGGCATCAAGGGATATCTTG